ATGCCTCACGGGTTCCTGATTGGCTAGGAAGCTGGCTTCATTTGTTTCTAGGCAGCCTGGCTTCCTGGCCAATCAGGAGGTGGGTCAGAACGTGCCGCCCGGCTTCCGGATTGGCTAGGAAGCCAGGCTGCCTAGCAACAAGTGAAGCCGCCTTCCTACGCAATCAGGAAGCCGGGTCATAACCTGCCGCCCGGCTTCCTGATTGGAAAGGAAGCCGGCTCCATGCTCCCTCGGCTCTGCCGGTCAGAAGGAGATATCCTTCTGACCGTAAGTTCCGGTATCGGGGTAAGTATCGGAGCATTTGGGCAAGTACGAGTACTCACCCAAATACTCGGTATCGACACCGATACTGATACTAGTATTGGTGCATCCCTAATATCCCTGTACCCACTGTTGATCCAGAGGAAGGCATACACACTCATTACACAGAGCTGTGACCATTCGCCCCTTGTGTTACCTGCCCGCGCAGTGTGCTCCCGTAATATTGAACATTTTATATCTGTCTTTCAGGGCTATCGACAGAAAGACTATTTCATTGCGACACAAGGACCACTGCCGCATACGGTGGAAGATTTCTGGAGGATGGCGTGGGAGTGGAAGTGTCACACGATTGTCATACTGACGGAACTGCAGGAAAGGGAGCAGGTAAAACAAGGAGGGAGATAGGCAGGCGGTTTGATGTCCGCAGTCCTCTCAGATGAGATGGTTTTCTTCCTGTGTGTGAAGAAGGATCAGAGACTTCCAATGATTTCCACACAGGAGATGACACCAAGATCATCAGCACTGATACATAAATTGGGTCAATTGCCAAAATGAATGCTTACAGATTGATCTATGTAGCACCACGGATTGTGGAGTGTGGGAGGAAACCTACACAAGCACAAGGAGAACATGCAAACTCCATGCAGATAGTGTCATGACCAGGATTTGAATCTGGGACCCCCATTGCTACAAGGCAGAAGTGCTAACCACTACGCCACTGTGCTGCCCAAGTGCTTCATCACTTGGTCTCGGGGTGCACTGTGTATGATTTCAAAGTCTGAAGTTGGACCTTTTATGTAATCACTAATATCTCATATAAGCTTCTCATCTGAATTTCATTTTAAAACACATTTTCAATCTTTTCAAATCTGCAACGTTCATTATAATTATACTTGGTGATCCTGCCATGAAGGTCCTTGTTCAGACACTTCTTGATATAGGGTGATTAACACTTTGTCCCTGTCTCATCATTTCTGCCCTGTGTTGTCACCCTGCCACACGCTCTGCCAATGGAGACCACAGTATGCCGTGCTGACGAACGATGCAAAATCATCTTCCGCCATTGTCAATATCAGGACACCTGTCCTGAGGAATGTCATCCAACCATCGCTGGAGTACATGTAGACATGAAGTGGCTCCATTGTCAATATCAGGACACCTGTCCTGAGGAATGTCATCCAACCATCGCTGGAGTACATGTAGACATGAAGTGGCTGCAGGAGATCAGCAGCACTAAGATGTAACAAAAGATCAAAAATAAAGGCAATATAATGTAGTCTAGTTAGGGGTTGCATCTAATTTAAAAGCTCTTTTGTGACATTGCTTTGGGAGGTTTCATCAGACTAGTTGTGTGTTGAACGTCTTCATTTTTCTGTCACAGGAGAAATGCTGCTCGTACTGGCCGTCTGAAGGTTCTGTCACCTATGGAGAGATCACTATAGAAATAAAGAATGATCGTTTACTAGACACAATCAGTGTCAGAGACTTCCTAGTGAGCAGTAACCAGGTAAAGAAGGTCATAAATGATTGTTTTATGGTATATAAAGGGAATCAATAATAGTCTGGGCTCATTGTTATGTAATCTGTTCTTAAAGCTGGATTCCAGGAATGATCTTTTATGGATACTTACACTGGTCCAGCTTGGCTCGATGTATCCATATCTGATATCCGGGGGGCCGCTGGGGATGCTAAAAATCACTACATATAGTGACAGCCGTGTTCTTTCTGCTGCAGCGCCCTCCCCTAATGCACGCTGAACACAGGGAGTCACTCGCTCAGCCGACATTCAGAGAACACCTTCTATTCTTTTTAATGAATACAAGGCATTTTCTGATTGGAGGAGGTGGAGAGAAGAAGCGGATGATGTCACAATCTCATAATTATATGTCTTTTATTATTCAATGAATCTGTATATGTACAAAGCAAAATAATGGAGGGGAAACGGTAAAATAAAATATGAGCATATTAGGTCTCAAGGGAATCCTGGTTTAACCCCTTCATGACTGAGCTTGTTTTTAGTTTCTGTTCGTAAATGACTGACACACTTTTGACATTTTTGCTGTGTGATTCTTCCACGTCAGTAATATACTTTCTTACAAAGTGCACCCACACATATTATATATTGTTTTTTAGAGGACAGATAGGGCTACATATTTATATCACATATGTGCGTCTAACGCCTCACTTAGGACAAATAAAATATAAAAAAAGAGGAAAAAACCGTTTAAAAAAACACTTTTTTCCCAGTTTTGATTTGTAGTATTTTTTTTACAAAACCAGCACAGCTAAAAAAATGCAATAAATACATTCATTTATTTGTCCCTTATTTTATTTTATTTTTTACACATTTTTTTATTTTTTTTACACTTTTCACAATTTTTTTTTTTTTTTACACTTTTCACTTTTTTTTTTAACTTAAAAATGTTATTTTATTTATTTAATTATATCAAGCAGATTTTGTGAATTAATCTCACTGTTACTGCATGATAAATTAATAAATTTTTGGTTATTATCAGGCTGCTTCAAACTTCAGAACAGCCGATAATAAGTTAGTGACACTGATCCTGCAGCAGTTCAGGATTCAGCTGTTACTAAATGTTTTCTGATTGTTGCAACAACGATCAGCAAACAAACATTCTTCTTCCAGGAATAGATACATTGTAGGAATAGACACATTTTGTATCTATTCATGAAAGAAAAAAAAAAAGCCAGTATAGCTTGAGAGAGATATCTCTCGATCTATACGAGCTGTCAGAATGCCGGCAAAAGCCGGCATCTGTGTCCGCTTTGCTTTGACTCTCAGACACCCGATATTAAGGTATCGGGTGTCTGAAAAAGGTTAACCCTTTCATTAATGAATGCCTCTGTAGTAAGGGCATCCATTAATGAATGTTAAAAGCTGATTCTCATCGATTAACAGCCCTCTAAAGCAGCAAATAACTCGTCACGTACAGTGTACGTGACAAGTCATTTGGTCCCTTTGTGGCTGGACGTACAGTGTACGTTTCCCGTCACGAAGGGGTTAATGAACAACATGAAACTCTGTGAACCTCAGTGAAAGGATTTGTATTGTTGCTGTATATCTGACACAAGCCAATGTTATACAGGAGAAGCAGACACGCCTGGTCCGTCAGTTTCACTTCCATGGATGGCCAGAAATAGGAATTCCTCAAGAAGGCAAAGGAATGATCGACCTGATCGCAGCTGTCCAGAAACAACAGCAACAGACGGGGAACCATCCCATCATTGTGCACTGCAGGTGAGACACAACCACCTTGAATATATTGTACTGCACAACGGAGGTCATGTCACCCCTATGTGTATGCCGTACTGCATGGCTGAGGGCATATCACCCCTATGTATATGCCGTACTGCATGGTTGAGGGCATGTCACTCCTATGTATATGCCATACCACATGGCTGAGTTCATGTCACCCCTATGTGTATGCCGTACTACATGGCTGAGGTCATGTCACTGAATCTTACCCATCAATAGCTACATTCACTGTACAGAGGAGACAGGTACACTTTAAAGGACCAGTGTCAAAATCAGACGCTGGACGGCAGTACGGAATACGGATAGTACATCCGTATTGGCAGAGGGGAATGACTGTTCATTAAAAGGTAAGTATAGCGGAGGGAGAGGGGGCTGGATTTGAGTGGGTAATTCCATTTACCCAAATTACTTGGTAATGTGAACTTACCCTTTAAGTGGGTCTGTTGTTTTCAAGAAGCTATGTGCAGCCCCTCCCACCAGCCATGATCTCTTTGCATGGCACAGAAAAGCACAGAGACCCATTAATGACATTGCTTGGTCTAAAATAAAGTATGAAATAAAAATGGAAAGATTTAATTTAAAAATGTAATTAGAATGTAGATGAGGGTAGAAGGGACAAACAAAGGAAGGAATATATCAGCAGATTAAACTTGAGCTTTAAGTAGTTCTTATCGGAGTTCCACATGCACCTTACAAAGTCACCAAGGTAATATTACAGAGAAATTGGTGAATCATAGTCTGCCCCTATGCCTCTATAGGAAGTTGTTGGTTTGATGTTTCCTCGCTGACAGATAATTGTGTATTCCTTTCTAGCGCTGGTGCTGGAAGAACGGGAACATTTATCGCCCTCAGCAATATCCTGGAGCGGGTAAAAGCCGAAGGGTTACTAGATGTTTTCCAGACGGTGAAAAGTTTACGCATGCAAAGGCCACACATGGTGCAAACACTGGTAAGAAGGAACGGAGAGCAATTACATCTTCACGTCTAAAGTCAGCTCCTGAGGAGCCGGGAACCTAACATACAACATTTATTACATATGGGAGGGCTGAGAGCAGCATTCAACATACTTGCTGGTTGTCCCTGATTTCCCAGGCTTGTCCCTACAAAGCTTGGTCCATGGAAATTTTTATATATTAGCATATTAATTGTCAACACCTATCTTTTCAACATATGTCAAACTGTTATCTGTTAAAGCTGAACTCCAGCCTTATCTTCATTTGTGCACAGTTGTCCTCTCCTGGACTGAAATGGCTTACTCTGATTTCACTGCACACTGAGCTTCTCAGAATATGCATTAGAAGCTAATGCATCATCAGGCACATTTCTCCCCAGCCTTACTGTGCCTGGCCCACCCCTTTCATACATTGGATTTTAGATTTTTCAATCATGGAGGCTCAGCATTACACGTGGGTGTTACCTAGGGCAAACTGCATGCAATCCATTATTTCAGTGAGCAGTTACTTATACCTGTAAGGTGTAAGACTTACATATTACTAAGCATGCATCCACATAAATCAAAAAATATCTGATACTAAGTCTTCTTTAAGGCCTTGTGATGGCCTTAGACTTCAGGCTATGGTTGGTGTGCAGGCGTGTGCACCAACATGCATGCTTGGGTTAGGTGAGCATTACATCTTTATGTCGGAAGGATGCAGGTTGAATACACCTACCAAGACCAACTCATCTCTTGCTATCAGATTCAGGGCCGGTGCACACCTATGCAACACCCCACCGCGCGGCAATCGTGCACGATTCCGGGCGTATTGCCACACGGTCAGGAGTTGTATAGGTGTGCACCAATCGCGCTGTGGGTGCCATCATTTTCCAATGGCATCCCAGTCCCGCTGGGCGGATCGTGCGGTTTCCCGCCGCGATTCCGCCCGTGCTTCTGAACACGATAAAACAGCCGCGCATCGTGTATCGCAGAAAAAAAGGTACATGTTCTGAACAAGATGCGCGGCTGTTTTAGCCGCAATCATGTTCAGAAGCACAGGCGGAATCGCGGCAGGAAACTGCACGATCCGCCCGGTGCGACTGGGGTACCATTGGAAAATAATGGCACCCACAGTGCGATCAGTGCACACCTATACGACTCCTGAACGCGCGGCAATCCGGTGTGGGGTGTCGTATAGGTATGCACCGGCCTTAAGTTTTACAGGAGATTTACCTATCAGATTAGTTTTTTCCCCTCAAAAGTGTTTGACCACCAAAAGCCTGTTCATGAGATACAACTGCCACTGGCCAGAATTATCTCATGTCTATTAGGGGGCTTTAATTTTCCCTCAGTCTAATCCTGGGGTTCTGAAAGCCTTTCTGCTGGCCCTTTTAGGGGAGCTTTTTGCATGGGCTTCCTGATCGTGTGATTAGCTGTCAGATTGGTCACATGATCAGGAGCCTATCCTACTGACTCTCAATCATTAAAAGTGGCTAGGAGCTGTCGATGATAATGCTGGGGGTGCACGATTGAGGGTGCTCCCAGTGAAGGGCTGCTGCCTCTATGCATATGTGTGGCAGCATGGCGTTGTTCTGCCACATATATGCATACAGCTGGCGGGAATGGGTTCACCTTTTTACTTTTACAGACCCACAGTGGACTGTCAAAATCATGACCATCACCAGTCCTATTAGATACCAGTGTGACTTCAAAACATGTCCATAGCTTGGTTTCTCTCTACACATGGATGGATAGCTATTAAAAACAGCTGAAAGAAAATCCTAGTTACAAGTCACAAATACATAAGCTGCGTACTACGGGTGAGACGTTTGCTGTTGTTTTTGGGAAATCAGAACATGAAATTGAGGTCCAGTTACTGGCAATGTTATTTACATTTATTGGCACAACACGTCAATTTTTATATCAGGTTTAATAATTTATTCATATAGAAAAGTCTGTTTTCATGCTGTAAAATCCTGTATTCATAGACCAGGTCCCATACCCCTATTTGGTCCCCCTATCCCCATGGTGAAGAGATACCCCTGGTTAAGAACCCTCTGATCTGATCCATTTCTGTCTTGTTTTGCAGGAACAGTATGAATTTTGCTACAAAGTGGTACAAGATTTTATTGACATCTTTTCCGATTACGCCAATTTCAAATGAAGGAGCTGGTCTGGTTTCTGCACTGACCTAAAGGATATTATATATTTTTCGGTTGTTTTTTTGTTTTTTTTAATCTTGCTCCTGGTTTTAAAGCTTTTGTATTCTCTTCTGCTACCAAATAACAAAATGTTTTAAGTTTCTCTTTCTATGTTTAGTATGATGTTGTATAGAGATTCCAATACAAACCTTCACCAAGTGGAGGAAATGATATATGTACATTACTGTATATATGTATTTATTTACAACAAGGCATGTATATTACCCTGACATATTTTTCTTAATGGCCGTGTGCTTTTTATGACATAAATACGATATGATTGGGGGAGGGGGGGTTGTTCATGTGAAATGGTTTTTATGCTACGTTTCCTGTATTTCTCATAAAGTAGATTTAAAATGATGCTACCCATCTGCAGCTTGTCCATACTTTCACTTAAGGGGGCTCAAGTACCAGGTGCGAGTCACCCTTGGCAATAGTTTTTATGCAGCAAGAACTAGAAGACTTCCTTACTGTTTTGTCATTGCTCTCTTGCACATGCAAGAGCAAGCCATTTTGGTTGATCTCATGGTCCTATAAGCAAGACCTTCTGCCAGGATGAACCAAGGCCAGCGTTGGATCTCACAAGGCCTCTACAGAAGATTGCACCATCAAGTACAGTTGCTTCATTTGTCACATTGCTGCTGTGTGTTTATTGGTACCACCAAAATGACTTCCTTGGACTTTACCAGCACCAGTGAAACCAATTTGAAGGCCTCACCTTGAAACGTTTAGCATCCTATTTGGATCCTTGTTTGAAAGGCCCAGATGATCATCAATTTAAAGATGGAGCCACCTCCTTCCATATCACCTGAGCCTCGTGTGATAATATCTACTCTTCCTTGAGGAACTCCTCTTTCTTTTTGGATCCCTGTGCAAAAACCACAAAACAGTAAATGACTATCATTATTACTGTGGAAGCATTTGCCAAGAGAAGACTTCCAAGGGCACACTGGAAGCACGAGAAATATAAGAGTGGCTGGAGACATTCAGATAGATAGAATATAAATAGAAAATAAATATAACAAGGGCTAGAGCTACTGAAAAGTAAAGCTTGGCAGCTGTGAAGATTGACACTGAAAGTGACACAGATAGCTCATGCTTTCGCACAAGTTGTGTATTAATGCTATTAGGTTCCTACGTGCTTTAAGCGCATTCGGCTCCCATGTGGCACCAGGCCATGTTTCTTCTGGCTCTCCCGAGTTATCCTAATAGGGAGACCTGTGAAAGAGCTAGTTAGTAGACAGACGTGCACTATCCTTCATGCTCAGTACATTGTAGACCATGCTGATTTTCACGCACCATGGCACAAAGTGAAGAGAACTCCTCTCAGAACTTTTGGGTGTACTGAGTTATTTGTTTCAGTACATTGTGTGTGAAGCTTTCATATTTAAAGATGTGTGAGTAAAGTTTTGACCCTTTGTTGCCTGAACTTTCAGGATGATCAAGGATCGTGTGATAGGGATAGATTTCTAGGTAACATATATAAATGTTTGTATAGACTGGTATCAGCCAGAAAATTAGAATAGGGGATGGACAGATCTTACAGAGAAAATGTAAATGATTGTTAATAGGGCAAGTAGAAAGACAGATATGAGAAGGTTAGCTACAGCATATTGACAGACAAGAGCTGCTACCAGTACTGTATTTAAGCTGGCCATGCACTGGTCACATTTTGTCCAGCAGGACTCAACCACTGCATGGCCAAGTCAGCAGTTCTCCATCCCACAACGGTCAGATCTAGTTTTGTTGATGGAGCCAGTCCAAGAAATCTCAGCTGAATAGTGTCAGCCAGTCCCTGTTCAGGTATTCTGTCAGCGGCACATCTGCCACTGTCAGAATACACTAGGCCGGGGGAAATCCATGCTGTTTAGTATGGATGGGGGAAATCAAGAGTTGTTTCTCATTTAGCCCATGGAGCTGAACAAGAACAAACTATAGGTGCGTGGCCAGCCTTAGTAACAGATTTGATGTCTACTATTGTAACTAGAATGAGCACATCTGCAAAGTATATTACATGTAGGGTTGAGGGACAAAAGGCTGGTTAGTGGCTATAAATAGATAGGCTTCCCACTTAGAAGAGTGGGCAATAGATATTCTCCCATCTGGTCCATATCACCATACCTGCTGGGAGAGGCACAACATCTCTACCATGTGTGCCTGGCTTCAGGATGCACCACCCGCTCCCAGAAGTGTTCCTTGACTTTTCCACTACAACCCACATGACATTCTTCCGAGTTCTGCTGAGTTCAGGGTGTGGCCCTTAATGCTAAAGTGTCCATTCCATCTCTACATGCATTGACAAGTCTTCTGATGCTCACGGTCTATCATTACTTCACTACTGCATTGCCCAAAGGTCACATATGATGCTTCAGACTGCTGTATCGCTTGTATTTATTGGGTTGTGTATGAGCATCCATTGTGATGTTCATGTATTACAGCATTACTAGTGCTGCCTACAGTATTGAATAATCAGAGGTGTGTTTACAGTATGCAGTGCACGGACTCAGAAGCAGGTTAGTAGGTTCACAATAATTAGATTTTTGGATCAGAGTATATTTTATTATAAATTGTAATTATTATATATATATATATATATAAACAGGGATATGTGTAATGGTTTTAGACAGGCCTGGAGCATGCTGCAATCTTGTAACAATGTGCAATATTCTCTCCATATAAAATAAGACCGTCCGTGTGTAAGGGACTGCCACAGGATACAGTTGGCTTTGAAAATATTGTATTTTATATTAAATATTGTATATTGTATTGGGCACAATTGACTACAGCAGAGGACCTCAGAGGACCAGTATGCTTGTTGCAAAGGATCCAGTGCATCAAATGTGCACATGAAACCTCTTTTTTTCTTTACGAAATGACAAGTCCTTATTAAAGGTTCCAAAATGGATTTATATTTTTGGTGGAGTGGGGTGATGCCAGGTCTTTATCCATTATATCAGCTGACTGTGTTGTAGGCTTATGTGAAATTTTCAATGGACTATCCACAGGTATGGGGAAAGGTAACTGCTGTAAAAATTCACTCTCTGCTGGTTTCACAGTAGAAATATTTAGAGATTTCACCATGGCTAGTGATAGATATAGCAAAGCTGAAAAGCTGAGCCTGGTCCTTAACAGCCATATCTCCACTAGGATTCTGAATAGCAGTAAAGACCCAATGGGGATCGAACCCAACCATCTCTGTTCAAACCAGAAAAATACTGGTACTGGGGGTTGCTGTATAAATCTCTTGTGCTACGTGTCCAGGCCATATCCATAATATATGTAACTATGAAAGAGCCAACATGTAAAATATTGACTTCATTCATTAAATTTACAATTGTTTGTTCTCTCCATGTACAGAACCATGGATGTTATACTAAAGTGCTCAGAGATTATTCCAAAGTAATATATAAATATATATATTTAAAGGACACAGACAATACTGTATGAAAATGTATCATTTGTATTATGGAAAATGAAAAATATGCTCTAGGAAGAACTATTTCATGGCATTTATGAGCACATGAACTGAACTTGTTGATCCTTGAAATGCCAAAATTCCATGTAGTTCTTGGAATAGCCATTTGTGAAAGCACTTAAAGGCACTAACCACGTTTTTAGTTGCATTTTGCGTGCGTCCAATAGAAGTACTAAGGCTTCAGCCTAAGATGTAATAGAGGAGTAAAGCCCTCTTCAGATCAGGAACTATCCCTAGACCCATATGGTCAAAGGGCCCAACCATGACCGTTTTCGATGTAATAGAAGAGTAAAGCCCTCTTGAGATCATTAACTGTCCATATACCCATATGGTCAAAGGGCCCAACCATGACCATTTGTGATGTAATAGAGGAGTAAAGCCATCTTGAAATCAGTAACTGTCCCTACATCAATATGGTCAAAGGGCCTAACCAAGACCATTTGTGATGTAATAGAGGAGTAAAGCCATCTTGAAATCAGTAACTGTCCCTACATCCATATGGTCAAAGGGCCTAACCAAGACCATTTGTGATGTAATAGAGGAGTAAAACCCCCTTGAGATCAGGAACTATCCTTAGACCCATATGTCCAACGGGCCCAACCATGACAGTATGTGATGTAATAGAGAAGTAAAGCTTTCCTGGGACTAGGAACTGTCTCTAGACCCATATGGTCAAAGGGCCCAACCATTAACGTTTGCGTGCACTTTTCAACACGTATGGAGTATGGTCTGCCCTGACATCGATTTCTGCTTCACATACTGTATATGCTGCTTACACTTGCTCTAGGCTTGTCAGTTTTCTAAAAGGTGACATTTTTACATAATTTAATTACAAAAGGATCACCTAAAGAGCTTTGGAGGACCGATTGAGAAGGTATCTGATTGAGATATGGGGATCCTTCAAACGTTACTGTGGCTTTTAACTAAGCTTCTGGGGTACACTGTAAGATATTATTACCACTTTCTATGATTGTATTATCTTTTTTATTTCGTTTTTTAGAAGTTAGCATTCGGCACAGTTGCATTTTTGCCTTAATTTCCTCATAATTTGCTGAATTTTCTCTTACTCACCTGCCTGTCTTTGTGAGGTACGAGATCCTCTTACAACACAAATGCTTGAAATGTAGTCCTGTAGCAGGGACTATGCCTGACATCACCGAGGTGGTTTATAATCCTAAAGCCCAACTTAAAGTGTATGTAAACCCCAACAATGAGCTTTTCTTATTTTCTCCCTTTTGGTCTACTAAATACCATACTGTATACCATTGAAAGTGTTTTGTTATATTGGTTTAAGTCCAAACATTCCTGTTGATTTTGCAAGAAATCTTGTGAACTGATAATTTCTTGTGTTCCCCTTCTGTGCACAAGGAGGGGTTATGAAGATAAGCAAAAAGGACATAAGGGAGGACATAAGGAGAGGTCTTTGTTCTATGTAATCCATCAGAATTGAAGTAGGAAGGGCTGACACCATTTGCTTAGGAATTCAGAGCTGTGTTGTCATATCAAAGAGGAAGGTTGAAGCATATTAATGTATATTACTTGCACATTAACATTTATGTTTCTGTACTTGCAGCATGTTTTAAGTGATACAACTTGGGGATATGTTAATCTATTCCAGAGGTATACTAAATGCTTTTTTTTAAATGTTGCCTTGAGTCAGAACTAGAGCTCTCCAATCAGCAGGGCATAGGTCTAACTCAGCAGATGGGGTGTGTCAGACCTCTGCAGAGAGACCGCTGCTTTAACACTGAAATAAAAGGTCCTTCTTTACAGCCTGCTGGCAGGGGAAAATGTTTTCTGCTCA